TATATATATTTCGTAAAGAATTTTAAGGGAGCAATGCAAATAGCTTCTTAGTTAATGACTCATTAGCAAAACAGTCCAGGATTATTCCAACAGACCACCAAAGGTTGAACAGAAACCCTTAAAACCACTTAAATAACTTTGTATAAAAAAATAGGTAAACCTAAGCCCAACATCAAAGTCAAACATCCTCATAATGTTTCATTTTTCCACTTGTGAATAGTTCTTCTCAATCATATTAAACTGAAGTGTTATGGCGCCACCTTTTGGTGTAAAATAAGCAGTTCAAGCATGGACAGAAATCTGTAAGTGGAGATTTCTGCAATCACCAGGGGGACGGAGGAGTTGCACCTTATTTTATTACTTTAATACAGGTTTTAAAGCGTCTTTATGTTGACTTTCTGAGGAGTCATGTTTATCTGAGTTGAGATTCTGCAACTGGATTTTATATCAGTCAATTTAACAAAAGCACAGCAGATATAAAGGAGTAAAATATGTTTAATTAAAGATTTAGCCATTAAAAAAATGAACATCTGCTACATGCAGCGATACGTTTGATGCACAAAATTTCTTTAAAACTGTTTATTTTTCCAACTGCTCCTTTCTGCAGGAGTCACCACAACGAGCCAAGTCACAGAAAACATGTGGCAACTGTTTATGAGAAGCTGGGCTTGAACCTGCAGCTTCAGACTGGAGCACTGACCATCAAGCTACAAAACCCTCAATTTAAAAAAAAAAGAAAAGGGTAGAAATTTTTTTTAACACACAATATAAAAAACTATTATCTCTAATTTCTGGTTTAACTTTAAATGGATAAAAGTTTCTAAAATGTTGGTTTCCAAACTTAAAAGTAATAATAATGGCGGCTTCAGAAAAAAAAGAACATAAAGACAGATTCATCCATCTGTTGCATGTCTTAACATCCTGTCTTTTTAAAGTGTCCTGCAGCCTCAGCTCTGCTGGGATTTCTGTCCCGCTGCGTGTTTGCGGATGTGCCGTTTGAAGTTGGAGTTGTCGCTGAACCTGCGGCCGCACACGCTGCAGCAGTACGGCTTCTCGCCCGTGTGGACTCGCAGGTGCTTCTGGTAGCCGTCGAACCGCGTCAGCCTCTTCCCGCAGATGTTGCACGTGAACGACTTGTCGGCCGTCGCTTCCCCTTTCCGGTGCACCCGCATGTGTTTGGTCCAGTGGCTGCGCTGAGCGAASGCCAGGCCACAGATGGTGCAAACGTACGCGTTCTCCACCTCCGCGGGGGGAGCTTCCAGGTCCCCGCASTCGAACTGGCTGGTTCCTAAGGCGGCCTCGCAAGCTCCATGTTCATCCTCATTGAGGTCGGGGCCCACSTGATGGACGGAGGTACCCGGCTGCAGTTGAAACTCTGAGTCCTGAAGGTCCTGGTGTAAGAACGCTCTGTGGCTGCTGTCCTGCTGCTTTCTCACCGCACTGCTCTGATACAAGACAAAACTGTCATCRTTCTGCTCCAACATCTGAGGAATGTCTTCCTGTTGATCGATCAGCAGATCTTCCTCCTCCATTTTGATGCAAGAAGACTCTTCAGTCTGATCCAAACTGGAGTTCAGCTGCTGCTCAGGGACATCTGCCAACAACCAAAACAAAGTCAGTGTTTTTTTTTTTTACTTATTTAAGCTTCTAAACCTCTCACAGA